TTGCCTAGACAAGAAAAATATCTGCTTAGAAAATCTTGTGGAAAAGTAGCATTTGTAATGTGACCCTAAAATTTAGACTATCACTTAGAAAATCAAGGCTGGGCATTACTTGTACTCCTGTTCTGGGTGAGGGAAGTGGCTAGCTACAAATAAGACAAACTCCTTTGAAGTAATTAATAACTACCAAATAAACATTGGCTCACTGCTTTATTACAACACATCTCCTTGTTTTTAAAGAAAGGCAGTCAAGGTAACAGATGGAGAAAGTTTTAGGCATGACAGTTATAAATAGTCCTGCAGTTTATTGCATGATATATTTGCAATTCTCTTTCTTTGCCATTCTGAAAGTTGGATCTCAATCAAAATGCTTTTCTCTTGACCAAAGAGTTTAAATTATTCCCAATAGTCTAGACCTCAAAAATAATAGAGTAGAGTAACGCCATTTGGGCCCTTTGAAAGTTTTATTTATAGTCTAGAGTATTGCCGCCGCTAACACCTGATCTTTAGAGGAACGTCTTTTCCAGGGATCGGATGGAGCAGGGGAACCTTTTGAATAAATCAGTCATCCCAAGTATGGCTTTTGCTTCTCGTAATCAAAGTAATGCTTGTCGAATGACCACTATGTTGCCAAGCACTAGAAGGAACAAAAGGACAAGTATTCTGTCTTTAAAAGACATTCATGGGGAAAAAGCATTAAAGATACAAAAGCTAAACAGCAACAGAAGACGGTGGAACATAAAATGTCACAAGGCATTAAAATGATGATAATAAATTAGAAATATCACTTGGCTGTTCTAAGCGTACTTTCTGTAATACTGAAAACTACATCAACAAAGCATTAAAAGTATTTTGAACATTCAAAATGTCCTATATATCCTCTTTCCTTAGAGAACTTGAAATTATATGATATACATTTAAGGAAAATCATAGAACTATCAAAGATTTCCAAAGTGGTGATATCCCCACTGCTGGGGAGAATGTGGAGAGAAGGAACCCTCACATACTACAGATGTTTGTGTGGAATTAGCACTATTCTTGAGGGCAGTATGGCTATAGCTATCACAATGTCAAATGTGCATCCCTTTGTTCTGGAAATCTTTCATAAATGATAAGCTGGGTAATTTGAATTAACTCTCTCTCTCTGAGAACACCTAGGAAAGCAAGGCAAAATATTTTTTTAAATCTGTTTTTTAAGGCAAGAGAGAACTACCAGAACATGGGCCAAGATCCAAAAGAAGGAAATCAAGACCATCAGACTTTGGGGGCCACTTTATCTTTAAAGACACTGCCTTTTTGGTAAAAACTGCAGAGAGGCTAACAAGTTAAGTAAGGTTAAAGAAGAAAACAAAAGTCCATGGTATGTCCCAGGAGGAAAGGCCCTAGTCATGTAATCTGCCAGGCTTTAGAGTAGGACCCAGTGAATTAGAAATGGGCCAGTCCTCAAAGAGACTGAAGTTCAGCAAAGAGACTGAAGTTCAGCTTTGAATAATTATTGAGTTATTGGCTTAATTTCCAACAGTTTTCCACTCGAGATCCAGAAGATAATTAATCCCTAGTGTTCTAAGGTATCTATTGTTTATGAGGAATTAATTTATCTCTGTTATACCTACCCTTCTTGGGAGAGTTGAGAAAATAATCACTCAAATGATTTGCTGCAGGGCTTAATTCTCTCACAAAACCTTAGCTGAGAACAGCTAAATTAGGTTGTCTAGGATTACTAATGCCCCCCAGTCACCAGCTAGAAGCCAGAGGGAGATATCTTCTTATGGCTTTAAATTATGTCTATAATTTTTATATATACTGATCAGCACTCAATCAAAAAATGACCAAGCACATGAGGAGGTAAGACAATCTGATAGAAAACCAGAGTAAACAATAGAAACAAACCCAGGAGAACCAGATAAAAGAATTATCAGACACAGATTTTAAAAACACTTTTATCAAAATTAAGCAGAGATCTGAAAACTAGAAACGCTCTAATGAAAAGTCTAGAACTGAGAAGTTATAATAACAAATTAAAAACTCAGTGGATGAATTTAACCGCTTGTTAGGTATAGCCAGAGATAGATTTTGTAAACTGGAAATTAGATAAATCAAATAAAATATCTGAAAATACTGAAGCATGCAGAGACAAAATATAGAAAAAGAACACACACATACACAGAAAAGAGAGAGGTGAAAAGTGGAGAAGAAACAATGCTTGAAAAGATAATGACTGAAAATTTTTCAGAATTGATGAAAGACATTTATTTGCATATTCAATAAGTGCTACAAGTCCCCAAAAGGATAAATGCAACCATGCCAAGGAACATTATAGTAAAATCACTGAAAGCTAAAGATAAAAGTAAATCAATATGTGTGCATAAAAATTAAATCTATCAGAAGACAAGATAGATTGTCTCAAATGAGCAATAAGACTATGAGCTGACTTCTCAGCAGAAACAGTGGAATGCTATAATATCTTCAGAGTGCTGGAAGAAAATATGGAAAAATTGTTCACAGATACATGTTTGATGGTAGTAGTTACACTACAAATTGTAATGAAAGGTTGGAAGCCACTTAAATGTCCAATAAGAGTTTTAGAAGTATTTGCCTCCCAACAGTGGACCACATAACCATTAAGAAGAATAAGGTAGATCTTTAGATATGATATGTTAATGATATGTTAAAATGTTCCAAAGGTATTATTAAATGAAAAAAAGCAGGTTGCAAAATAACATAGTATGCATTCCCATTTGCATTAGCAGTATTGTGATGCAATTAAATATAAAAAGATAGGCACCAACATGTTAACAGTAGTTGTCTTTGGATGGTGCAATTATAAGATAATTTTGTTCATATTCTCTTTAAATTTTGTAATGATCATATATTATCGAACAAAGATAGTTTCATTTTTAAAAGGGGGAACAAAACCAGTCAGTACTTCAAAGGTTGTGTGCTCTGTATTGACCGTGGGTACACTGTAGATGTGTTACAATGGATATTGTTAAGTGCATTTCATTACCTCTACATGGAAGAAATTCAGCAAAAGTAAGCATCAGGTAAGACCCCTAGACTCAGATCCCTAATATTCTGGATCTCCCTAAATCTAAGGAAGATCTAGGTGAATAATGTCGCTTGGAACCCCACGTTGGCTCTCATTTTATGAGAAGCATCAATGGTCACCCTTCTCTGATTTAGAATTAGTTTTCTTTGTAAGAAACTTTGAAATAATGTTAAGAATTGGGTTAAAATTTTTAAATTTTTTTCCTGCTAAAATGTAAGCCTAAATTGCAATACAGTCTGCTCCCCAAAGATAAGAAACTAGCAGTATTCTTATTTTCTTAAAATGTTTGGATCACAATACCAAACAACACAATTCAAAATGCCATAATCTCAAATCTTGAGTTCCCAAAAGATCAAAACCCGTAAGGATCAAAATCCCTAAAGTCTAACATCCCTGGTGTCTAAAATCCCAAAAATCACAGTCCTGAAAGATTAAAATCCCAAATGTTGAAATCCTGAAAACCAAATTCTGGGGAAGGGGTTAGTGTGTTTTCAGTTGCACATGGGATAGTTGCATTATGCTGATTCTACCATGTTAGGTGGACCTGTTACTCTGTTGTCTGTATTGGGAAATTTAGTATGGTTTAACACATGGGTGCCAGGTTGACAAGGCGTGGGCTTGTGGTCTTAAGTTTAGATGTCAACTTGACCAGTAAAAACTGTTGGAAACCTGGTAGAGCATAATTTTGAGTATATCTGTGAGAGCGTTTCCAGAGGAGATTTGTGGGTAAGTCTGAGTGGACTTTATGGGGAAAATCTGCCCTCAATGTTGACAGGCCCCATCCAACCAGCCAGGGACTTGGGAGAGAACAAATACAGAAGGCACATTGGTTTGTCTCTGATAGCTGGGACAGGCTTTTCCTCTGCTGCCTTGGACATTAGAAATTTGATTCCATGAAAGTGCATTATCACGACATTGTCTTTGTGCATTAGTATTGTGTGTGTGCGTAAAAATGCAGACACTGGCAGGGCGCGGTGGCTCAAGCCTGTAATCCCAGCACTTTGGGAGGCCGAGACGGGCGGATCACGAGGTCAGGAGATCGAGACCATCCTGGCTAACACGGTGAAACCCCGTCTCTACTAAAAAAAATACAAAAAACTAGCCGGGCGTGGTGGCGGGCGCCTGTAGTCCCAGCTACTTGAGAGGCTGTGGCAGGAGAATGGCGTGAACCCGGGAGGCGGAGCTTGCAGTGAGTGGAGATCGCGCCACTGCACTCCAGCCTGGGCAACAGAGCGAGACTCCGTCTTAAAAAAAAAAAAAAATGCAGACACTTCCTCAATAAATGAAGAGATACTCTTTTTGTACATCTGAATTTGTGAGAGATAAAATTTCTGGAGATCTCAGCTCTTTGGGAAACTGCCTAAGTAGGGGTGACCCATCATGGTTTTTTATCTATCTTCTCAAAAGACTTAGGTTGTTTATATGATATTTCAGGTGATCACAGTTATAAAGCTGGGTGCCTGCAGTTACCAATCCTAATGGCATGCAATTGTACATTGCCCTTTTTCACCTGTTCCTTTGTAAATACAGTTTGTGGTACTGTTATACCCACGTGACTGTTGTTAGTCTACCTGTGTCTATGCTTGCAAAAATATGTATTTTGTTGCCTATTTTATTGCATAGAGTGGCCTTTGAAGTGTTCTGTTGTGTTTTTATATGTTTCTCAAGTAAATCCCTCTTTAAAAATGTAAATAAATATATTGTAAAGAATGTCTTTTGTTTTTCCAGAATTATATCTTTCACAATTTCAGCAGTCAGGATTTTGGCATTCAGGATTATGATTGGCTCCCAGATAGGATGAATCTTCAGCATTAGTTAAATTGCAGTTCCCTCAGTGCCGTGCAAGGAGCTATTTAATAATTTTGATTATTTATATTGGTAACGTACATGAGGGAACATGATTTGGGGTAAATGAAGCACCATTTGGATGATAAAGTCAGAATTGTTTTTCTAGGCCGAGAAATCCGTCTGCCCCTCCGAATCAAAGGGGAAGGCATGGGACCTAAGATTCACTTCAACTTTGAATTGCTGGATATTGGGAAAGTTTTCACCGGATCTGTACATTGTTATGAGGTAAGCACTAGAGTTGTTCGCTGAGACTTCCAACAGTACTTGGCTTTTTGGGTTTGTTGTATCTTATGTGTTTTTATTTGATGGAAAGTGTGTGCAATCACATTCATTCGCCATTACTCATCCTTGTTGAGACCCCGGAGTGCTCAGATTCTTCCTCCTCTTGCCTGGCCATCGTGAGGGAAACAACTTTTTATCTTCATTAGCCCTCCCTCACTTTAGTAAAAGCTGAAAAGCAACAGAGCCATAGTTTAACTGGTTTTATCCTCATTGTTTTGTAGATTGCAAAGGGAAAACCCATAAATACATCTCCCCATCTGTTTAGTGCTTGTTCTCTGACAACATAAATTCCACAGATCAGAGGATGGAGAACCTTTTACATTTTCTAGAACGTCCTAATGAGCATAGCTCTTTTCACACTTCATAATTTTCTCTTAATGCACTGGTCTCCAATCTATGTTTTAAAAACCAATAATAGTTTCTGGAAGAGACTTTCCTGCTTTATCTTTCCAATTAATTAGAAAATGAAATTTTACAGGATGTCTGCATGAGTTCTTCAGGATCAGTGTTTACTTCAGTGTTTCACCATCACTAAATTTGTATCTAGGGCATATTTTTTATACTGCATCAGACTGTAACCCTTGAAACTTAATTTTGGAAAGGTTCCTTCGTTGTATATGTTTGTATTTTTATAGAGGTATTCAAAGCAATTATTTAATGAGTGACAAATAGATGTCAAGTTCATACTTTATTGTGTTTGCATATCTATGTGTCTGTGTGTGTGTGTGTGTGTGTGTGTGTGATTTCTAATCCTTACCAAATTGTGAAAGTTAGGCTTTATTACATCTATTTTGCGTATGAGAAATGTGGATCGTGTAGTGGTTAATATCATACACAACATCTCCCTTAATGTGTGTTGAGCACAGTGCTAGTGCTTTCATATTCACTCGTTCATTTAGTTCTCACAAAAACCCGATTTGTGTCCTAGCACTTTGGGAGACCAAGGTGGTAGATCACTTGAGGTCAGGAGTTCAAGGCCAGCTTGGCCAGTGTGGTAAAACTCAATTGCTACTAAAAATACAAAAATTACCTGGGTGTGTTGGCGGGCACCTGTAATCCCAACTCCTTGGAAGACTGAGGCAGGAGAAGCACTTGAACTCAGGAGGTGGAGGTTGCAGTGAGCCAAGATCATGCCACTGCAGTCCAGCCTGGGCAACAGAGTGAGATTCTGTGTTGAACAAAAAACAAAAAACAAAAACCAGCCCCAAACAATAAAACCCTATTTGTGACAACTATTTGTGAGGTACAATTAACTATTTCCATTTTATAGCTGGGTAAACTGAGGCTTAGAGAAGTTAAGGTAGTGCTAGATATTGTAACAAACAAATATAAAAATACATAATGTCTCAAATATGCTAGAAGCTTCTTTTATACCTTACATAAAGTCCAAGACAAAGGTTTCTAGTGAACAGGTGCTCTCTTCCAGCAGAGAAGCTGGAACATTTCATGCTTGGCCACCCCTACCACGTGGTCTTCAAGATTGCAGAAGGGGAAAGGGCATGGGGGAATGTATATGATATTTTTATAGACGGTAGCGCATTTCACCTACATTCATATTCCATTAGCTGTATGCACAGAAAAAGAGGAAATGCATTCAAGGAATGGCAAACCTGAATGCCAGGGGAGTTAAGTAACTTGGCAGGGTCCTGCAGCATGTAATGTTAGTGAGTCCTGGGGGACTAGGGCTGTCTCTCCTGTTCTGGAAGAGAAGGCCTTTGCTGGCCTCTCAGCCCTTCAGGTTCTCAGCATCCCACCCTCTCACCTTGGGTAAACCCAGCCTCCAGCCCACTTGGCTCTTAGCCCAGCCTAACGTGGTGTGGGGACAGTGCCCTGCGTCTCCCACATTCACAAGGTAACTGTGGCCTAAATGGGATGATGCAGAAGGTAAACAGAGATGTTAATGTCACAGTGAGATGGACTGTGCATAGGAACACAGTGTAAATGAAGAAATCAGTCGCATGGCTGTCATGAAATGACAAGTGACACAGCTATATGCCACACTGTCCTGGATTGCACTTGCGAGGTCACTTAGGGGAGAAGGAAAAAAAGTCCAGTAGCTCTCATTAAACTGATATTCTGTCTGCAATTTATCCAGTGTGAATTTCCTTTACATCTTACAGACTGAACTTATGAGTGCCACATCAGAAAAGAACCTTTAATTCTGATGCAAAATGGATAGGGTTTCCCTGAATGTAAATTTAGCAGAAGTGTGCTCGAGGCCACCACTTCCCACTGTCCCTAATTTTAATAGTAAAGCAAACCACAGCCAGTTAAATAAGTGTTAAATGAGGTGATGCATCAGATTGGACAGTTTGGAGAGCTGTGCAGTGGCAGAGAAGGACACGGTAAGGTGCTTCTTATGGGAATATTTTGCACTCTGCGTATTTAATGCTGATGTTTCATTGCATCTCTCTTTCAATTTATTGCATTACCTACTTGAGACAAATTTGAATAACTAGCTATTGCCCTTAGTCATTGCTGAGCATAGCAGATACATAAAGAATAAACCATAACCCCAAGAGTATACACTATTCCCCGGTGTAATTAAGAAGGAAAACAAATGAGAGGCAAAGTTTGATTATAAATTTTCTTCTCTCCAAAGAGCTAGATCTCAAGGAAAGAGTATTATCAGTAATCAAAAGGCCTCTGAATTGTGTCCCAAAACTATTGCTGGTTTCTGTATTCATAAGTGGGTGCTTATTTGCCAGGAGGAGAAGAATGATGTCATATTCTTAAAAATGGAGGAATGCTCACCATACAGAAAATATGGGCAAAACATTTCTGCTAACCAAAAAAACTAAGAGGCAATCCATGCATCTTCTGAAGTAAAAGAACAGGGTCCTCCAAGTTACCATTAATGCCTTCAATTTGCCTTCATGTTACCACTAGTACATATTAGTCACTTCTTAAGCACGGGTAAAATTTAAACCCATCCTGTTTGGCACTGAGGATATAAATAGCAGTCACTGACTATGTGTGGTGTCTCACATCTGTAATCCCAGTGCTTTGGGAGGCTGAGGTTGAAGGATCACTTGAGGTAAGGAGTTCGAGACCAGCCTGGGCAATACAGTAAGACCCCATGTTTAAAAAAAAAAAACAAACCCACAAAAATTAGTTGGGCATGATGGCACATACCTATAGCCCCAGCTACTCAGAAGGGAGAGGTGGGACGATCACTTGAACCTAGGAGTTCAAGGGTACAGTGAGCTGTGATGTGCCACTGCACTCCAGCCTGGACAACAGAGCCAGACCCTATCCCTTAAAAAACAAAAAACAAACAAACAAAAACATATCAACAGTGTCTGTCATTTTTAAGCACTATTTGCCAAGCACTATTCTAAAAATTACATAAATTAATAAATTTAATTTTACAGCAACATGAGAAGTTAGTAGTACTTACATTTTAAAGATGGGGAAACTGGAACACAGAGAAACTAAGTAGAATGTCCAAGGTTACAGAGCTAGTAAGTCAGTGGCAAAGCTGAGATTTGAACCCAGGCAGTTTGGCTGCAGAGTCGCTGGCCATAATCACTTTTCTACATGGTCTCTTTAAATGGAATGAAGGGTGAAGCCTGGTTCCTACTACCAGGGAGCTTAGAATGAGGAAGATGGGGAAGAAACATAAAAAGATGAATAAAATAGCAAGCAGCAATTATTTATGCTTCTATTTTGGTGCATTGTCCATCTTCTCTTGGCAGAAGAGGCTGTCTTCCTCTGCTCTGCCTCTGCTGCCGACTCTTTCTCTCCACCATATGTTCTGGATGCCCTCTTCCCTGCAACCTGAGCCCCTGAACTCATCCTCCTCTGCATCCACTCAGACCCCATTCCCTTAGTTACCAAGGTCTCTTCTCTTACAACAACAACAGGCAGCACTTTGGTGAGTGCTTCCTCTAGGCTGAGCAATGCATATGCATTATCTCATTTATTACAAATATGCTTTCTCCTCTGCAGTATGTCCCACAGCCTTGCCACTCCCATTCTCACCTTTCACTACTCATCTTCTCAAAACAGGAATCTAAAATAGCCACTATTTCCTGTGCACCCACTCAATCCCCTAAACATTTGTCCTCTGGATTCTGCAATCATGCCCCACTGGGATTACTCTCTTCCTCAAGGTCAGGGATGACAATAATCTCTAAATAAAAATAATAAATCTATAACCTTTGCTCTGAACTTACTCTCTTGACCTCTGTCTGCATCTGACTTCATCTGGGAATCCTCCTCCCTCAGCTTCTGGGTTCCTGACACACCTCACATTTGCCTGCTGACCTTCTGCAAGTTTCTTCAAGATCTCTCATGCTCTTTGTCCTCCAAAGCCTTAGGTGTAGGTTGAGGGTGGTTCCTATATAAATCAGGAAAACATGCTGTTCACCCTCTAGGTATAAGGACAGCATTGGCAAGGATCAGAGGTGGTGTCTTTGGAAGCCAGGATAGAACAACATGGCTGTAGTCAAGGTTCATGCCCAAGAATTGTAGGGACAGTAGACTGAGGCCTGCCATGTAGGATGCCAAATGTCATGAGTGTGCATGTAAAGAGCTCAGGCATGAGCTCTTTACATGCACACACGAAACCCAGTGCACAACCACATATGGGCAATAACATGCTTCCAGAACACTAGTATATAGGAATACAACTTTTCTACAGTAAAACAGTTGCTTGCATAAGAATCTCAAAGCAATCATCCATCCAGTAGAATTTGAGATGAAAGTATCTCAATAGGATGAAAACTCATAGCACAACAAAGAGAACCCTTGTCATCTGGGATCCACAATGATGTCTCATGTACATTCTTCAAGCTACATTATAAACATAGGTTTAGGTAATTCTCACTCTGCTATTCAAACTTCCTTTTTATTTTTAAATATGCTGCTTAGCCTCAGCCTTGTCATGCATATAAGAGAAATACTTACTTTCCCTTGGTTACTTTATAGAGAGTAGCAAAAAAAGGGGGTATTTTAAGGCTCTTCATCAGTATATGTGATTATGATGTCTTTATAGCACAAGCATAATATATATGACCAATTTCATTTTAAAGAGGAGACTAAAAATGTAAAATTACTTCTGGCTTGGGAGTTCTATCTTCGAACACTCAAGGCATCAGACTGTTCATTTGTCCCTGAGTGTTCTTTGGTTCTAATTCCTGCAACTTTCCCTTTGTTGCTGTTAAACAGTACAGACACATGCTTATATGAAAATAAGTCAGAGGCCCATTGACCTTCACATTCTTGCCTTTTATTGATATAGGCAATACTGTACAACAAAGGCAGCATCGATGCTCTCTTCAATGTGACCCCTCCAACTTCAGCTTTGGGGGCCTGCTTTGTTTTCTGTCCCAAGGAAGGCATCATTGAACCAAGTGGAGTCCAAGCTATCCAGATCTCCTTCAGTTCTACCATCCTGGGAAACTTTGAAGAAGAGTTCCTGGTCAATGTCAATGGGTCACCTGAGCCTGTGAAACTGACCATTAGGTAAGGTGCATTTATAACGAATGTAGAAACTAACTGAAGTTTTCACCTGTTGCCTTTTTAGCTTTTTAAATAGATCCTGTCTGGATGTTCATAGCTGTCTTTGTTGATATGAACACATCAGCATAATAGAGTGTGTTAAATTTCCATCAGTGTTTCCCTAGTGAACATGTATAAGTTATTATAGTATAGATACAGATGCTGTTTGGAGATCTAGTTTTTCTGCAAGTTATAATCTTATAAAATAAGGATTTAGACATTAAACTAGCTTCTAGTTACTCTCTATGTCTTAGGATGTTTAGAGAAAATAAGTTATTACAGTAACACCTGAATAAAATCATCTGGGCTAAGCTTTGGCCATTATCACAGTTTCTCTAAACTTTTGTCTTTTGTTCTTATTTTAAGGAAATTGTTTACATGATCTCACTATCATGTCTTCAGACATTGTAAACACATTGCTCTGACTCTATTTGGATTCCCACAGCAGCAGGTTGTTAATTACCATGGCAGTTTCTCTTATTCTGGTAACTGCTAGCAAGACCTCCCTCCATCTACAAGCTGAGGTCTCCCTTGGGGCAAGCCCTGGGGATAACATAGAAAAGAGATAGAGACATATGACCTGAAGGATCCAAGGAAAATGTACTGATCTCATGATATATACTTTACATTCAGAATCTCAAGATTAGCTGAAAGGTGATTACTATTTAGTCTCAAACTCTTGCACCTCAGTGTCCCTGTTATGCACTGAATTGCTTCCCGCAGAATTTATATGTTGAAGTGTTAACACCCAGTACCTCGGAATGTAACTCTTCTTGGACATAGGGCCTTTAAAGAGATAATTAAGGCAAAATGAGGTCAGATGGGTGGACTTTAATCCAATATGATTGGTGTCCTTATAAGGAGAGGACATTAGGACACAGACATACTCATAGAAAAGGGCCATGTGAAAAAATAAAGAGAAGCTGAAGCGAGAGACCCTCAGAAAAAAATAACCTTGCAGTCACCAACCCTCTGACAGCAACAGAAATAAACTTCTGTTGTTTAAGCCACCCAATCTAGGATACTTTGTTATGGCAGCCCTAGCAAAGTCATACAACCCCCAACAACTAAGGAGAGTGAATGTGTGTGCCTCAAGGGTTCTGTGGCATGGCCAAAGCAGCCTGTCATAATCATAATCTTTTTTTATTTTTAAGTCTCAAGACTTATCTGAAACATTCACAAGACATTTACATTCTCTACCATAATACATGTGTTTGTTATAAGAGAAGAATGAGGGTTGTTTTCCAAATGTTTGAATAACATTGACTCTTCACAAATATGCATCATACTTATCCCAGCTGACATCCTTTGCATATGTATACAATATGAGAAGTGTGGGAATACATTTTCATATTATATGAACTTCAGCCCACTTACTATCTTCATAACATCTCATCTCTCATGACAAGCAGTGAAGGGTGGTTATCTGAAGAAGTAGGAAGAACAAACTTATGAATGTAACCGTGTCTCCAATTCACGGATCCTCTGGTCCCATAAGGGTCTTTGATAAGATCCAGCAGATCAACTATTGGAAGCTTTCTGACTACTGGGCATCAGGAAGTATTGCTCTGAATCATAAGTACCCTTGACAACATCCAGTATCATAAGCAAGCCTTCATACATAAGCAGCAAAGATAAAACCTTTAAGCTGTGCTCTAAAAACATTTAAGATAGAAGGAATAATAGCCCTATCTGTAGGAAGGAAAGTGTAGGATAATAAAGGAGCAGTTTTACTTTTCAGGTAGATGATAGTAGGAAAAGTGCTAGCCAAGGAAGGCTAACTGCCCCTCAAGTTTAATAAGAAAGCTCATCCCAATTTCACCTGGCCATTCCCCATTTTAAGTTCAGGCCTAATAATTAATACTGTGTCTTACCATCAACATACATACATAGGTACCCTTTTTAGGAATAATTACGTGGATATTGGTTTAATAAACTCTTATTGAGTATCTCCTTCAAGCAAGGTTGTATATTAGGTGCAAGAAGTCATGTATTTGGGTTTGTTAGACATTCCTGATGCGTGACTACTACTGCCCTCACTTTTGACTCTGAATTATTTACCCAAATTCAGGATTGCCCGTTCTCTAAACTATTCCCTAAACTAACTTAAAAATACAGTAAAAGAAATAACAAGGGAATTTAAAAGGGTAGAAAATATCCATTTAACACAAAGAAAGGCAGTCATGGAGGAATAAAGGAACAGAAAAGACATGAGACATATAGAAAATAAGTAGCATGAGTCCTGCCCTATCAACAATCACATTAAATATTAATGTATTAAATACTTCAATTAAAAGTTAGAGAATGGCAGAATGGATTAGAACAAAACAAACAGCCCCCCCAAAAATGATCTATCTATATGCTTTTTACAAGATACCACACTTTAGATTTAAAGATATGAATAGGTTGAAACCAAAAGGATAGAAATATCTATACCATGCAAACAGTATCAAAAGAAAGCTGGAGAGACCATGTTATACCAGACAAAATAGACTTTACAACAAAAATTGTTACTCAAGACAAAGAAGGGCATTTTACAATGATAAGATAGTGAATTCATCAAAAAGATATGGCAATTACAAACACACATCTAATAACAGAGCACCAAAATATGTAAGTGCAGAAAGACAGAATTGAAGGGAGAAATAGACAATTCAGCAAAATAGTAGGGGATGTCAATACCCCACTTTCAATAATAAAAAAAACTAAGCAGAAGATCATAAAGGAAATAGAAGAGTTGAACACTATAAACCACCTAGACCTAACAGACATCTACAGCACACTCTACCCAACAGGAATAAAAGAAAGGACATTACTGCCAACCTTACAGAAATTAAAAGGATTAGTGGATAATGCTATGAACAATTGTATGCCAAAAATTAGATAATGTAGATGACATGAACAAATTCCTGGAAAGACATGAACTACCAAAACTGACTCAAGAAGAGAGAGAGAATCTGAATAGACCTGTAATATATTCCAACCAAAAAACAAACAAACAAAAAACAGGATCAAGTGCTTCACTGATGAATTCTACTGAATGTTTAATGAAGAATTATAAATCTTTCACAAACTCTTCCAAAAAATGAGAAGGTAGGAACACTTGTCAACTCATTTTACGAGGCCAGTATTACCCTGATACCAAAACCAAACAAAAACATTACAAGAAAAGAAAACTAAAAACCCATAACCTTTATGGATTTAGACCCAAAAATCTTTGAGAAAATACTAGCAAACCAAATCCAGCAACATGTGGAAAGGATTATACCCCATGACCAAGTGGGATTTATCCTAGGAATGAAAGGTTGGCTTAACATATGAAAATCAATCAATGTAATACAACATATTAATAGAATAAAGGACAAAAACCACATGATTATTTCAATAAACACAGAAAAAGCATTTGCCAAAATTCAGCACCCTTTTATGATTAAAAAAGTAACAAACTAGGAGTAGAAGGGAACTGCCTCTACATGGATCAAAGACTGAAATGTAAGGGCTGAAACTATAAAACTGTTAGAAGAAAACATAGGGATAGGCCCGGCGCAGTGGCTCATGCCTGTAATCTCAGCACTTTGGGAGGCTGAGGCAGGCAGATTACCTGAGGTCAGGAGTTTGAGACCACCCTGACCAACATGGTGAAACCCCATCTATACTAAAAATACAAAAAAATTAGGTGGGCATGGTGGTGTGTGCCTGCAATCCCAGCTGCTTGGGAGGCTGAGGCAGGAGAATCACTTGAACCCAGGAGGCGGAGATTGCAGTGAGTGGAGATTGTGGCACTGCACTCCAGCCTGGGTGACAGAGTGAGACTCTGTCTCAAAAACAAACAAACAAACAAAATATCCATATCCAAAAACCAAATAAGCAATAGTTTTCAGATAATCAGCATCTAAGCACAAGCAACCAAAGGAAAAATAAATAAATTAGACTTCATCAGAATGTAAAAAAGTCTGTGCTGCAAAGGGGATACTATCAAGAAAGTGAAAAGACAGCCTACACAATGGGATAATTTGCAACTCATATATCTGATAAGGGATAATAATAAATTACTAGATAGTTGTAACTCAATAAATAATTCAATTTAAAAATGGACAAAGCGTTTAAGCAGATGTTTCTCAAAGAAATATACAAAAGGCCAATAACACATGAAAAGACTGTCAACATCATTAATCCTCAGGGAGATGTAAATCAAAACCCCACAATGTGGCACTACTTCACACTCACTTGGATGTCTATAATCTTAAAATGGAAAATACAGTAGTTCCCCTTTATCTGCATTTTTAGGCCCCAAAGTGCAAAAGTAAAATTAGCGTTACTCAAACACAAGCCCTGCAATACTGTGGCAGTTGATCTGATAACCAAGACAGCTACTAAGTGACTAAAAAGGGGGTAGCATCATGCAGCATCGATACACTGGACAAAAGGGTGATTCATGACCCAGGCTGGACAGACAGTGGATGACACAAGACTTCATCACACTACTCAAAGTGACAGGCACTTAATAATGTATGAGTGATCTATTTCTGGAAATTTTTTATTTAATATTTTTGGACCGTGTTGACCATAAGTAACTGAAACAACAGGAAATCAAAACTACAGATGAGGAACTACTGTAAGTGTTGGTGAAAAGGTGGAGGAATGAGAACCCCCAAACACTGATAATTAGGAATATAAGACATGGCAGCCACTTTAGAAAATGGTTTATCAGCACCTCAAACAGGTAAACACTGAGTTACCGTATGACCAGCAATTCCATTCCTAGGTATATACCCAGGAGGAATGAAAGCATATATCCACACAAAAACTTGTACATGAGTATTTATAACAGTATCATTCCTAGTAGCCAAAGATAAATGAAATGTGGCATATCCATACAATGGAATGCTATTTGACCATAAAAAGCAATGAAAAGAAAAAAATGAAGCACTGATAGATGCTGCAACACGGTAGCATGGATGAACCTTGCTACCACGGTCTTTTGTGACTGCTTCTTTCACTTGTCATAATGTTTTCAAGGTTCAGCCATAGTGACACCATTATAAACCTTGAAAATAAGGTTCATCCATTATGAGCCCTGAAAACATTATGAAAGAAGCCAGTCACAAAATACAACACATTACATGATTCCATTTGTATGAAATGATTAAAATAGGCAAATCTATATAGATCTGAGTTGGATTAGTGGTTGCTTAGGGCTGGTGGGTGCAGGATAGAGGGTGACAGCTAAAGGGCATGAGGTTTCTTTTTGAGGTGATGAAAATGTTCTCAAATTGACTGTAGTGATGGTTGCATATATTTGTGAATATACAAAAAACATTGATTTGTGCACTTTAAATGTGTCAATTTTATGATGTGTGAATTATATGTCAATGAAGCTGTCATTTAAAGAAAAAAAAAAACACAGGAGCCTGTAATAGTGAGCAATACTTCTGTAATTTCCTGGTTGAATTTTTTAAATCTCTGATCTCTTCTCCTAAAGATCCCAGAGTAGTCATGCATGTCACTTGCAATGTCTAAATAAGTTAAGGTGTACTTGGGTTCTCCACTGTGAATAATAGGATTTAGGGATCTCCCAGAAATCTGCTCACAAGTGAACTTGGACTAGTTAGTACTTCACCTGCTCTGTGGAGGGTAAGCCTCCTGTTCTATCTTCTGGACATTTCCATTTACCAAAATTCACACACCACTTCTTGATTTTGGATGTTCATTTCTAGTTTCTTTCAACAGAACCTGACTATGGAAAGAATCTTTATGGGGATTTATCACCAAACTCATGATCGATTGCTAAGAGAAATAGACTTACCTAAATTTCCTCCTCAGTTCACTTCCTTTAAAGCTTAGTGATTCTTGTGTCCAATAATGTTGCATCGTTAGTGGTTTCTAGCATTTCAAACCACTAACAATAATTTTGAAAACCTGCTAAAAATCTAGTGTCATTAATAAATGTCTATTCATAAAGGGTAAAAATGCATGTATAATAATACATCATCTGTTCTCAGCTCCACACGTTAACACTGACTTGACTTGTTATTTTACTTTGTCAGAAATACTTTCTTGGGCCTCATAGCCCAGGAAATGTCTATAAAGTTAATATTGTAGGTTCTGGAATTTTGTTTCTTTTTTATTGCCAGGTACTCATTTCTCAATACCGCATAAGCTAGTATTTTAGCTAGTATGCCTTGAAAGATCATAACAAATATACTTTTACTCTTCCTATTTACTCTTCCAATTCATGACACAGTATTTTCAGTGGTTGGATAAACAACACTGTAAAATTAGTGTGATTTTAAAAAATTACCCGTAAGCAATTTTCTTCCCTCCTATTTTTACATATGTGATTTTATAAAGTTTGAACCATAGCACAGATATATTTTGTATTCAACTTGTCTCACTTATATATTGTAATAATTGAATCATTCTCTCTCTTTTCTTTCAAATTATAGTTTTAACAGACCCCTGCATTGATTTATGGCACAACCTTGGCATAGACTGTCCTAACATTCTGAATCCCTGTGAGAATTAATGTGACCATATCTAAGTCCAGATGGGATTGTTCAGCCACAGTTCCCTCAGTTACATGTGCCTTTGGACAAGTGTCATGTATCTCTGGTTGTTTAAACTTCCGCATTGATTAAATGTCTGCTTCGTGTACATTTTTTAAACTTCTTTCCTACTTTCTTTAGCATCTCGTGCATGTCAGACAGACACTTTTGGTCTGTTTGTTACTTTGGTCCCTAAAAGCTTCTTTTCAAGTGAAGCATATAGCCTGTCGGTCTGTTTGTTGACTTCATTCTCAACTGGATCCTAATTCCTGGCTGAGTCCCAACCGCTCCCTTTAAAATCACTTTAGATCATCAGCGTGAAATATAATAAATGCTCATGAGAAAGTTACACTTGAAACTTGTTGCAGTGAGTCTTTGCTGTGGCCATTCCTCCCAGGCTTACAACAACCTCTCATCACATTATGGTCAGAGCTGGAGCAATTGGGAGTACCACTAAGACATCATCATATTCTGCATGGTGTGACACATACAACAGCTGGAGCTTGGTGAATTAAAAGATTCTTGCTTAATGTGTTTTATGCTATCTGTGTGTCTATAATGTTTAAAAGTTTTGCCACACAGATGGGACACTTTTCAGTTCTTGCTTTTGGCCTACAGATAAAGACATGGATCATGGAGAAAAATAATTGTTTCTGTGAAGGTAAACAAGATAACTTAATAGATTAGTTTTCTTTTGCTGCTGTAACAAATTATCACAAATTTAGTAGCTTCAAACAACACATATTTAATATTTTACAGTTTTATAGCCTTAATGCAGGTCTAGCTGGGCTAAAATCAGTGTTGGCAGGGCAGTGTTTCCTTCTGAAAGCTCTAGAGGGGAACCCATTTCCTAACCTTTTTTGGCTTTCTGAGGCTGCTCACATTCCTGGATGCATGGTTTCCTTCTTCTGTGTTCAAAGCCAGGTTGAGTTCTGAGATTGCAGCACTCTGACCTCCTCTGTTGTCTCTGTCCTCTATTTTTAAAATCACCCTTGTGATTACAATGGGCCTACCAGGATAAGACAGGATAATCTCCCCATCTTAAATTCAGTTAATTAGCAACCCTAATTCCATCTGCTACCTTAATTCCTCTTTGCCATGTAACCTAATATATTCATAGGTTCTGGGAATTAGGACATAGATATCTCTGGAAGCCATTATTCTACCTACCATACCTTCTAAGCTAGAAGTCATAGAATCTCTCTATTATTTATTTTAAGCTAGAGCATCTCTCCAAGATCATGAAGACTTGCAGTGAGAGGGAAATAGACCAACATTTACAGTAAAGAGTCATTCAATGTCACCTAGTCCAGTCCTCTCTTTTATACATGAGGAAGAGAAACAGAAGCTGATAGAGATAAAGTGGCTAGCCAGCATCACAGTGAGTGAATGTCACCGTGGTAGGAATGTCACAGCGGTAGGAGCAGAATTGGAACAGTTTATATGACAGCATGGACAGGGATTACTAGTATCAGTGATAGTCTTTGATGTGTATTGCATGATTAGACCTATAATTTTTATTTCTCGACACATTAATAACTTTACATGATGTGTGTCTCATTCAAAATCACAACATTTTGTGCCCTTGTTTGATGATCCATCTGCTCTGCCTCTCACCTGTTCATTGGTAGAAATAAGACAGTAAGTTAACCACAGCATTGTTTGTCAAAACCCATGGTTTGAATCATGAAAGAGAATTTTAAGAACCACTGTGATAGACCATCATGTCATCATTTCTTTAAATCCTGGATACTGTAATTGACATAATGTCACGCTATGGTTTTTGTATTTATCCTTGCCCCACTTCCTGATTGTGACTCTGATTCACTGGGTTCTCTCCTTCTCCCCCACCTTGTATTCCTCCTTCCAGAGGCTGTGTCATTGGACCTACCTTCCATTTTAATGTTCCAGCTCTGCACTTTGGTGATGTTTCCTTTGGTGAGTAATTTTCCATTTTAAATTAGAAATTGAATAGGATTCCTTTTCTCTACATGGAAGGAGGAAGGTTTACAAAGGACCCCCGTTCCATGGCCCTGGAATACAAAGTCCAGCACAAGGACATTCAGAACACGTGCCCTATATCTGATTGCCCTGTGTAAGGAAACAGAGTCCACACAACCATCCCAAGTCAGTTACCGCCAAGAAATCTCATACTGATTCATTGTTTGGAATCTTCTCTATTGTTCAGCTCTGAAATGTTAATGTAAATGCTATGTATCAGTGGTAAGCCCACTATTGAGCGCCAAGAATATCTGAAACTCTTATCTAGAAGTCAGACCCTTAGAAAACATCAAGGCCCCTAATATAGTACATTTCAGTAGAATATGGCAAAGGAGAAGCCTATCCCCAAGATGCCACTGATTTCCTCAAAATGCTCTTCTGCTTTGAAGTATCTACAGTTTCCAGTGAGTGCCAATGGCCATAAATACATCACAAACACAGGGCTTTTAAAGTGCAGGTATTGATTTTTATAAATGGGGCTACTTCTAACATGAATCACTTCATTTAATGTGCTCCACGTTGAGTAGTAGAGGTCACTAGTGATTTCAAGTTACAGTTTTAACAGTGGTGGCAGCAGAAGCCACATTGTGATAAGATAAAAAATAATTGGTAAAGATACTCAAAGTAATATATATTTGACAAAGTGTAGTCACTCTCTTAAATATACCTATGGGACAGATTTTGTTTATAAGAAATTATCCTCACTAGCTAAAGAGTTTTTATGGTAGTTCTGTAATTTAAAAATAAATACATTTATTTTGGACATTTGATATGTTCCTTTTGCATGATCCTTAGATGTAGCCTGAGTGGTAGATCCTAGATGCGGCTGTTCAATCCCCATCCATTACCTACCCTCATTCTACACAGCTTGGCAACTATGCCTCTCCCACACTGGCATAAGACTAGGCATTTATACATAAAGTGGGTGAGCCAAAGGACTTATGAATTGCTGGATACCAGGTGTAGCTGAGAGTAGGAGTATTGTACTGATATCAAGGAATTAAGTACAAGTCAGCATCATAAATTGTGAGACTCCTCCATGCCCTACCTGTCCCTTCCACTTGAGCTCCCCAAACACTGACAGGCATAAAACTTATATATTGACAAGTAACTAATGTTGAGAAATTCATCCAGAATGTAGCACTGAAAGCAAAAGAGTTAGACTATATGAAAGGGAAATAAAGGGACATGGAAAATAAGATTTAAAAGTTCTAACTAACTTGTGTATAATAGATACAGGTTCTAAGTTTAAAAGTTTTAACTTGTATCTAATAGAAATTCTAGATGGAGAAAGAATGAAAATGGCCAAAGAGCAAATCTAAACTGAAGAAAAACATTTGTCCTTATGGTGTGCAGCTGGATGCTCCTTCAATTCTGTGGCTCCACCATAGGTGGCATGTAGCTTCTATGTCTTGGTCAAGATTTCTGTTCTAACCTTAGCCGTCATACTCACATTCCAGCCAGCAGAAAGGAGGAAGAGACAGGAAAAGGGTATGCCCCTTTCTTTTAAGGACACTTCCTAGAAGTTGTACACACCATATACGGTTATATCCCATTGGTGAGTATTTATTTGTGTGGCCACAACCAAGCTGCATATAGGGCTAGGAAATACAGCCTCACTCTGGTTGGCCACATTCACAACCAAAGCTTAGGGATTTCATTACTTCCTGAAGACGGAAAAGGATAGTGGGAGATAACCAGCAATTTTGGCGTAACTTAGCAAATCTGGGCAACATCAGCCAGGCGTAGTGGCTCACATCTATAATCCTGGCACTTTGGGAGGCCCAGGAGTTCAAGACCAGCCCAGGCAACATAGCAAGACCCCATCTCTACCAAGAAAAAAAAAAAAAAAAAAAAAGCAATCAGCTGAGTGTAGTTGTACATACCTGTGGTCCCAGCTACCTAAGAGGCTGAAGCAGGAGGATCTCTTGAGCCCAGGAGTTGGAGGCTGCAGTGAGCTGTGATTGCACTACTGCACTCTAGCCTAGGCAAAAGAGCAAGACTCTGTCTCTAAAAAACAAATAAACAACAACAACAACAAAACCCTCATAACTCTCGGTAGGAACCAGGAAAGAAATACAATTGCAGATACTTAAGGCAGTAAAAACAGATAAGAGAATGCTTTAAAAATAGGAGAAATGGATGAGTTGGGGGGAAATATATGTTATTAAAATTACCATAAGGAGTAGACCCTGAATAGAAAAATAATCATAGAATATACTGAAAAAGAAGTCAAGTATCCAGCCCTGAAGAAAAGACACTAGGTCAAACAGCTTTACAAGTGTGTGTGTTCTACCAAATGGTGAAGAAGTGGATGTATCTCACATCACAGAAAAATGTAGAAAGTTATTAACTCATTTTAGGAGACAAATAAATTCACAGTAAAACAACACAAGAAAAGAAAAAATATAGACCCATCTCTCTTATGAACATTGACTTTAAAGCATTAGCAAATCACATGCATAGAGATACATTTTTAAAATTCCATCATGACCAAGTAGAATTTATCCCAGAAATGCAAAATGGTTTAATAACAGGAAATCCATTCATGTAATTTACCACAATTTATATCATCTCAGTTCATGCTGAGAAAAATATTCCACAGAATCCAACACTCATTCATAATTAGAAATAAAAATTCTTAGAAAACTAGGAGTAGGAGGGAAATTCCTTAATATGATGAATGAAAAATAGAAAAAACCTATAGTGGGAAAATGTATTTGATGGGGACCTTTGTTCATGTAGTAACGTACATTTAGTAATATTAATTTATCTATGTTCTAGACACTATTCTGGGGACTGGGATATTACAATTAAATGTTGAAAGCATTCTCATTCATTTTCAGAGGCAAAAAAACAAAATCAAAAAACTATTCTCAAGCTATCATATAACATTGTCCTGGAGGTCTAAGCCATTGTGATAAGAAAATAAAAGGAAATAAAAGATAAGTAGTTGAAAAGAAAAAAACAAAACTATCATAGTTTATAGAATGTATTATTCTCTACCTAGAAAAACTGTGGTAATTAACTGACAGGGCATTAGAACTAATAAGAGTTTAGCAAGGTATTCAAGCAAAATATTATTAAAAAGTAGATTTTTAAATACATCAGCAATGATTAACTAGAAAATATAATAGAAAAATGTCATTTAAGAATATAAAACTATATAATAACCTAACAATAAATGTGCAGACACTACAGGAAGAAGATAATTCGCTAATTCCCTGGGGAAAAATTCACGGAAAGAGCCAATAAATTTTTGAAACAAAGACCAATGACTGTGGACTTTATCAGATATTAAAATGTACTGTAAAGCATAGGCAAATAGACTAATAGAAACAAAGCCATGACTACAGGGGAATTCACACATGCTCATTGTGAAATTTCAGATCAGTGGAGGCGTGAGCTGCTTCATAAAAGGCGGAGAAACAATTGGTTATCAATGGGAAATAATAGAAAAGTTAGACTTTTACCTCAGATCTTTCACAGAAAAAAATCTGAGCTCTATTACACAGCTAACTGTGAAAAACAAACTTTTTAAAATATCAGGAGAAAATATAGGTAGTTATGTTTATATACTAGCAAGTGTGAAGGTCTTAAACAAGATGCCCAATGCAAAAGCCATAAAGAAAAAGGTTGGTAAGTGTGGCGCCCTAGCATTAAGCAAATTTCCAAACAAAAGATTTCAGGAATACAGTAAAAAGACAATGCTTGCAACATAAATAATAGGCAAAGTATTAAAATCAGAATACATGAACCTTCAGAATATGTGAAACTAACTCCTGCTAATCCATGTGGAAAAGTGAAATTATCCAATAGAAAAATTGGCAAAATAGATTAATAGACATGTATAAATCGGTAAGTGTATAAACAGAATAGAAGGTCTATGAAAGACATATTAAAAGATACTTAATCTCAATCATCTTAGATGTTTTTTGTGAAGAAAATATAAATATTTTTTATAATCCAACTAGTATTTCTCATGTGTTCCCACTCTACCAAGCAAGCATGGCAGGAGTTGGGGAGCACTGAGACACTGGCCTGTGGGTGCCTCATCTAGCTAACCACTTACCTGTGGCGCCCATTTCCACTGAGGTATTACGGGAACACTGATGACTTGTCCTTTTGGCTCCATCAGAGCCAACACTGACTTGGCTTCCACCGACTCCATCTTCCCTGGAGCTAGACCTGTGCTTCCCCCATGAAGCTACTGAGCACACTGAGATGTGCTGTAAGAGTAAAATACTATTGATTACATGTTGAAATGATATTTCTGACATGTTGGGTTAAATACACTATGTTGTTAAAATTAATGTCACCTATTTGTGTTTTGCATTGTATTTCCATTGGACAGTGTTGGGCTAAACTCTCCTCTCCCTTCATAGCCATTGAGGTATGGTTGTCTGGCCTCTTGCTATGGCAGCCCTGTTGTAGACCCATAGCAAGTTCACTGTTCTCAACCCAACTACCTTCCAGAACCATGCGTGGGAGGAAGGGTGCCATGTATCCATGTGTAATGCCTGGGTCCTTCTCCAGCCACACAGGAACTGAGAGATACTTGAGTACTAAGATTCCCTTTTGACCTAAGCATACCATTTTTATCCTGAGTTAGCTGCCCCAGGCAGGTATGAGGATGTTCTGTGAAGTGGTCTGCTCTGAGATTCCCAACTAGAGAGCTAGGCAGAAGACCCTTTGCTTCCAGCATCCCTTCAACCTATTTAGCCACCCTATCCCTGAGATTCTGGCCTGTAAGGCAGACGCCATGATGTACACATCTGGCCTCTCTGTTATTCTTCCCCTTCCCACACTCCACTGAGACAAAAGGAGTAGCCTTTCCACTTCGTCTTCCTGTTTGCCGGAACTCTCATATCATCGCCTCCTTTTCCTATATGCTGTATGCCAAATAAGAGAATAACCTGTGTGTCCATTTAAAGAAT